ATATATATATATGTATGTATGTATACATTTTAAATCGAAGTATTTTTCCAATATTTGCTGCTGAAATTTTCTATATTCCTAGGTACAAAAAAAATTGTTTGTTTTTCCTGAGTTGAAGTATAAAAATATAGATCTATTATTTTAAAGACGTATCTGGACSAGAATTCGAAATTATGACGTTTATGCTACCCCGTGAAATCGGGGGATCGCCGCATATAAACAAGCGCGCGGTGGTAAATAATGCTGAATCAAATTAAACGTACGAAAAAACGTKCCCTTTTGTGGTCTCATCAGTGTAACCATTGCCCTTGGGATATCATGTGGGTCATCCCACTCTCTTCTGTTATAAGAAATCGTTCAATCAAGAACTGGRTTTGTTTTTCTGAAAAACGCGTTTTCTTTGATGTAACATAGAATTTTAATTTTCTTCCAGTTTTATTAAATTTATTATATAGTTAGGAAACGAAGCACAGTGCTGACGCCATCCACGCGCGCGCGAAGTGCTGTTACCGTCTTTCTTTTTAGTGACTAAATGAATTCGTAGAGTGGCGTAGAGTGGCGAGTACCTTAGTCTTATGCGGTCTACAAAAAATAGGAAAAGTGCTGAGGCAAAAAAAAGTTGCTTTTCGATCAAAGAAAACAYTATTGTATGTACTTGAACATTTGGATTTTTTCTAAGGCTTCATGAATTTCCAGGAGAGTGAACCAAAATCGGCCTAATTTCGAGTTCAGTCGCAGCAAAAATTATCCTTATTGACTTGTGCAGTTTTTCGACGATTTTTCTCATTAAATAAGATATTTCGAAAAAACTAACGTCATTTCCGTCTATTTGGAACCTAGCACTAACAATCCACAAAATATGAGCAAAATCGATTTTTTCGACTCTGTCCGCGATTTTGTGAATTTTGTTCTATTTTTACTAACATTCACTCTTAAGATGACTGCCTACTTTTGGAAAACGATTTCAACTTTTTTTAAAACTTCGATTTTTTTTCGAATTGAAATTTGATGCTGATTCAAAAACTGGTGTCCCGAGCTTGTTTTCCAGATAATCAGCAATTAATGGAAGCCTACGCACGAGCTTTTGGAGCAAAACTTCGCCACGGAAGTGATTAGGGRAAAATTAAGATTCATATGATAATAGTTATTTGCAGACTATATGATTGCACGAATGAAGGCTAGTCAATCATTCTACAATAATACGTGGATATTTTCGACAAAAAGACAAAGAGATCCATTGATTTGTCATATTTTGTAGCTTCGGTCTTTAAAAAATCTCATAAAGTCGAATAAAAATCCCTACATAAATCTATTTTTTCATGTTAGAATTGTAGAATTGTCAAATTGTAAACAGGAGGGAATTTTGTTGYGCTGCCCCTTAGTTTTATTCGTATCCTTGGAAACATAGGCCCTTCATCATTGTCCTCCGCCTCACTCCGTTCTCTGTTGTTTTCTTTGCCTTTCCCATGCGATGTTTGTATTCTTCAGTTCTGCCATGCGTGACCTCCTCCATGACTGTAGTGGCCTCCCCACCTTTCTCCTTCTTCTTTGTGGGTTCCATTCCAACGCACGTATGTGCTCATCTTTYCTTCGTAATGGGTATCATGTCCAATCCACCTCCAAGCCCTCTCCTTCACTACAACACTCATTGTTCTTTTGTCTGTTCTTTCCCAAAGTTATTCATTGTTTATCAATAGGCCCTTTGCAGCTAAGCAATCACGTGCTGGTTATTGCATTTGCAATCATCTTTATGATATTCGCAATAACGATCCCACCAAACCAGTTTCCCGCAATTTTAATCTAGCTAACCATTCTCTTTCTGACTTCATTGTTTTCGGTCTTTCTTTGCTTAACGGCAACAATGATTGTCGCAAGACCAAAGAAATGCGGCTTATTCACCTAYTGGGCACTCTTAGTCCCAACGGGATTAATGAACGCTTTATTTTCAACTAACCTTTTCTTTTGTCTTTTGATTGTTTGTTTTTGTTTCCTTGCCTACCTTGCTCTCATTGGTTTCTTTTGTCTTATTCTATCATATATACACTCCTTTCTACCACTTCTTTCTCTTTTACTCCGACGAAGGACTAGCGTYCGAAACGTCAGTAAGTTTTTTCATCTTTTCACGGTGTATAATTTACCTTTTCATCATTGCTGGTTATTTCGCTGAGAGCAAATGAATGAACATTTTGATTCCCATGGGTGAAATTTACTGGACTGCAAACAAACTTTCTACAACCTGTTTTGTTTCGAGAGATCGTAATAAAACTGCAAAAGGCAAAGGGCCTATTAAGGATATCTTGCTCCCATACTGAATACTTCCCTGGCACTTGTTTACACCCACCTAGTGCTTCTTCTCTAAGCCTTTCGTCAGTCTCCACGTCTCGACCCCATACTGACTTTACTTTGGGATTAAAGACTTTAAAGTCCCATAGCTTTCCATAATGTATGCTAAATATCTGTCTAGCTTTAGACATTCTGGCACTTGGCATGCCAAATGTTCGTCTAGCTTTAGACATTCTGGCACCGATGGCTAGGTGTTTAAACTCGTGCACAACTTCGACGTCTTCCCCTTCGATAAAACCATCCTTTTTTACGAAGGACGGTTTTATTTTATCCTTTTTTACCCTTTTTACGAGGGTAGCACTTAATAGCCAGTGGCTAACAAACCCGTGGCCCTCGTTCCGTGATCGAATAACGATTTAAAATAACGATTTTTGGAGTGCCTGTGTAATTCATCGCTTTTGAAATCAAGGTAGTTCTAAAGGTATAAAGCTGAAATGTGGAAACTGGTACAACCACATTCGGGCTTCAGCGTTTGTCACGATACGAATAAGAACAGCAAAATAATGATTAATTCAGTGACGATTTCAATGAGTTTTATAAGAACAGCATTGAAATAGTCTGTTGATGCAATTGAATGTTAATACATATGCAAATGTCGTTCTTGAATGTTTCTTCCGCGCAAATGAAGCTTATTTTGGCGTTAATGAAAGTATATTCACCTTAAAGAAACAGCTACAAATGAATTGACTCGAATGAATGAATATTTTCTGTAAATGAACAGCTAAAGGCGTAATGCAATAGACTTGTGGGCTGTATATTGTCGGGGCCCGGTCGTACGAAGCCTGGATAGCGCTATCCGATAGATAAATCTTATCCAGTGGATATATTTATTGGGTAACAGCATCGACTTATCCGCTGTATAAGGGTGTATCCGCCGRATAGTGATATCCAGGCAACGTTCAACCGGACCAGCTGTTCACAAAATAGTCCATTCATCCAAGAATGAATATTAATGAGCGGCATATGAATGGCTCAGCAGCTGTGCATTTCTCTCTTCCAGCAACCTGCAGCGTTTGGAGCCAAAAAGCAAAAATATAATTCGAAACTTTAGCTTAGCTTGCGCTGTGGTTCTAAGAATTTGAAAATGGGTTGACCACTTAACATGAAAGACGATTCATCATTTTTTGATGCGACAGCGCAGATCAGTATTTAGAAATAATCGGCCAGTTCAATTAGAATTTAAACGAAAATTCTAAAGTTCTTAAGATTGGTTTGCGGCTAAATAATATCCTCTGATTCACRAGGGAGGGCATGTTTCTTGCTCCTACACCCCTTAGATCTACAGGGCATTTGATCTAGAGGGTATTAGCATTGTAATAATCGTTATGATCRCATTTACAAGTGCATTTGATTTTAAACACTGGAATTTATTTTTTAAAGTGTCTTAAGTGTTTTATTTGCTTATTCTCTACCTTTTGCACTAAGAATTAATTAAARCATACAAACTCTTCAATTCACAAGAAAGAAATTGAACTTCAAATAAGGAAGGGAAGTTTGAGTAGAACAAACGGTAAGGCATAATATTGCAAAATCAACAGATTGATATGCTGTGAATACTATTTTGGAAAGCAATATCTATAAAGGCGAGAACCTTGAGAGCGTTTTTTGTGACATTCTATTATATTAAAAACTTTAGCAGGAAGTTAAATCCCACACATGAAGTATAATAAAAAATATGCCTACTGTGAAAAAGCTTTGATTACCTATATTCATGGTAAATACCATGATAAGCTAAGTAAGTAGTTGGTAATGACGTTTTCATGATGTCTGAGGGCTATTTTGGTGTGATTATAGCTGTCATGATAAGAGAAAATTAAAAAGTCAGTGGTAGCGTACAAACTAACCATTTGATTAGATTATAAAATATATTTATGACAACTAGTTTGCTCTTCTTGGGAATGATGCTTGAAGTTATCGAAACGTTGAGGACCAATCTAGTCGTCAATAATTATATTTTTCCTTTTCTTCCGCATTTAGTGCTATACGAAACATCACTAACATTAGCGCTTATTTACACTAGAAAGAAAAAAACTATATTCTCAGACAAAGTAAACCAGAAATATACGGCGATGCGACACAGTGCATCAATTTTCGCTCTACTCAGTTTACTACCGACGAACACAGTCTATAGGTGTTGTTTTAAATAAAAGCGATGGCGTTAATTAAAAAGAAAAATAATATTTCGAAATTCACTTAACTCAGTAGCTTACTGCATACAGTGTGAATCGTCTAAGAAAAATTAATATTTCAATGRTACAAATGATRTATCATTTATACATGTATTATCACATGTTCGGTGGCGACACAAAAGCTGTTATAAGGTATTCACCAATATTATTGCTCGTATATATTTATTTAGCGTGAACTTAAATCATGGCCAATAAACTGGTTTTTTGTTTGTTTGTTTGTTTGTTTGTTTGTTTGTTTGTTTGTGTTTTTTAATCGCTTTTAAGATTTTAATGCTGAGGTTAAACAAAAGCTGTAGAGCCAACAATATTGATCGTACATTTATCAACAAAACAACTAACGTCCATCAAGAATGCCCGCATGTTATCAAAAACAAAATGGAAAACATGAAATACTGTTATTATAAAAACAAGTTCTTATAAATATCAAATATACCTGGTAAAAATGCATTAGTCATTTACAGAAACAACTTACCATTAGTTAGTTGTTTAAACATCACGTTGCACGTCCATCATGTTATCGAGAGTCAGTCGCTTTTGCATACGGTTTTATAGTGGTCAGCATTTGATTTTTTAGCACTACAGTAAGGATGAAGTCATAAGTCTCATGATCCTTTAAGCGTAACTAGATATCGTCGCAACTACAGTAGAAATAATTCAAAAGTATTGCATTCTGATTGGCTATTGCTTGATGTGAATACGATGTATCCTGTTGTCGCTTCGTCTGGATTTCTGGATTCATTCCCTGCTCCCTGATGCTCTCCCCTAATTCCACATTCATTACCCTTTTTGATCTGCTGTCTGTGGTTATATAATGACTCCGATATAGCAATTAAACATGAGGGGAAATTTAAGCTAGGCGAAAAAAATAATGAGGGCACTAAAGTGACACCTTTCTTTTATGTCTAGAATGTTAATCCTCTTGCGGTATGTCTTGATTCTCCATGTTTTTTAAAAATTAAATAGTCAAGTTTTTATAATAAGATTCTGCTAGTGCATTTTCAAAGCTGAAGGTAGTCCAGAGMGTAACCCACTTTTATGGATGCATGCACGGCGAAGACGAAACGTTTATAGGGGAAATAGTCTTGTAAGAATTGTATTTCGTTACGCGTGATATAATTTCTATTTTTGAGGGACATACTAATCAGTTCGTGAGAAATAGGGTTTAGTTCTAGACTAAGCTGAATTGAGCTAGAGTATTATGACACTGGATAAACCAAAAACTATATGCGCGCGCAATTTGCGTTATAAGGAATAGACCAGTAAGAAAATACAACTTCATTGAATGTAGTCTAATCTGATTTATACGAGAAAGAATTCAGTTTTCCAGGGGGGTGGAGAGGAGACTACTGTTTTGCCTCTTGAGTGTTATTCCTGGCATCAAGTGATACAGTAGTGCTGCAAAGTTTTCACCTACGTCATCATGAATTTCAAAAGCGTAAATTCGCATTATAATGGAAATAAAAGTTTAAGGCTGTAAAGCATTTYGTTGCAGAACTATAGGCGAGTAAACATGACGCAATTTTTGGTTAAAATGTATGGAGCGGCCATCTTGGTGTTCCAAGTYGGTACACCATCATGGCGGACAAAATTCCAAAGCCTTAAAATGATGGAATATTTAATATGTTTGACTATTTTTCACTCTCACATACTTTAAATAGATATTTTAAACGTGYCTAAGGAAAAATCTTTCAACTAAAGTAATTTATTTTAATATTTTCATCGCTATTTAGATAGACGTGACGGTATTGCGTGACACAAACTCAACCTTCATAACTCGAGAACCAAACATCGAAATGACTCGAGATTTTTTCTTGTGACTTATAACACTGACTTCTAAAACATACTTGAGAAATGTCTTTATACGATCTATAGTTTAGATTTTGATGTTTTGATGACGTCATGTGAAAACCAGCAATACACTAAGTACCTAAGAGAACCGAATAGAAAAAGGCGCGTTGTAGCAAAACCAATACTAAAGGGCGATCAAAAGAACCCAGGAACACGCAGAAATTAAACCAATAAATAGCACCTTAGATCCACAAAAATAAAAAGGAATAAAATAGCAAACTATCAAAAATAATTAAATATTGGCTCATATCTAGGCGGGGTTTTGTTCTACCGCTGTATCCGTTAATGATGACATTACTAGTAGCCCATGAGACGGSAAGTCTCAGTCCACTTTGTTCGATGCCATCTGTTTGTTGGTCAAGACTTTCGCAAGCTTTCTTTTAATTAAAAGGATTTGCAACCCTTTGTTGAATGTTTCATCGATATCATATAAATATTAATGTAATTTGGTTCAGAAGGATAGATATTTGTATATACGCCCCAAACGTTATGAATAATAGGCCTTATGTTTCATACACTTATAAAACTAGTAAATCGTTTTCTAATAATGTCGCATGCTAGCCCACAGGCTCCAGATATATTTTCTTGATCTRAAAACTCTATTGACTGGCTACAATAATACGTGGATATTTCAAGACTAATATATTGATTTGTCATAAAAAATCTCATAAAGTCGAACAAAACTCCCTACAAAAAAAATCTATTTTTTCATTTGTTAGAATAATTAACTGTTTTTAAAACTTTGATATAACCTAGATTTTAAGGAATGTTTTCGAATAAGAYATGTGACATCAGTGATGACGCTAGGGTCCTATCCCAGGGATTCCAGGAATCTATATGTATTTCCACCTCCATTTGTCAGTAGGTTTAAATCGTAATGAGTAATATATATATTTAGGCAGTTCCTAAAAGCGGAGCTCCCGATACGAAAGTCACCGATAGCCCAATTTAAATGAATCAGAAAGGTTAAAATAAGATCGGGGAAAAATCGTCAATTATTTYATATTCGACATGAAGATACTGTCTTCCATAATAAAAACCWTGAAGTGAAATCGATTCGAAATGCACTACGTTGTTTTCTTTGCGCGAGTATACTCCACTCCCACTTARGAATTTTGTACACAACTCACCACCACCCCTAGGAGCTAGTTTTGTTCTTGRAAGATTCTTCGACTAAGTTTTCCATGTCCGACATTTTTAAGCCTTGAATTCCTAAATAATTTTACTTTAAAAAAGCAAAGATAACTACAGACAATCCAACACAATATCAGGTTTAGTGAAAATTACCTTGGATGTCAGTCATTGAAATCGMAATTTCGGAGTTTCCTAACAGTTTTATGGACAAACAAGACCCTGGGCTCAGGGTGCGCTGGGATACCTGGTAAAGATGTRCCTCTGGTTATGAAATTTAGACATGACATCGAAATATGTGATGTGATTGCTGGAAAGGTTGCGCATCTAGAGACGTTATGTTAGACAATAACACTTTTGGGTCTCTGTGTTGTGATTTATCGATGTTTTTGATGAAATAAATAAGTGGACGTTTTGAATTGAGTCGATCAGTAATGCGCAGTAAAACTATACAGAATTTATTTGCGAACACTTTCTCAGAAAGAAAAATCAAAACCAACCATACTTATCAAAGTCACCGAACAACTCAATCTGGARCTCCAATTCCAGTTCCTGTCCGGATTTTGGCATACGTAATTAGGTTTCATGAACGTGCACATTCGCATGAAAATTGTATAGCTTGCTTTAAAATCAAAATGCTTCATTTAAAACATAAATACAGGCTAATGTTTGCTCAAGACCTCTCTCATAAACGCTTTACATCTTATAATTTTATAATTATCGATATTTTTAATGAATCACCATCTTTTTGGGGGAAAAAAAAGAATAAATAAATAAAAAAGATCATAACACTTMAAACGGCAAAGGTCAAACCCTGGAATGTGCATAGCAAATTATTATTATTATTATTTTTTTTTGCTTAAAAAAATATTGCTATGTACATCATGTTCCTTTGTGAGTAGCCTTTGAAGCCAAAACAGTTAATATAAATACATAAATATAGGCTATAAGAATGTCTATATTGTCAAGTTCAAGAGAATACTGAACAAGTCACGCTGAATGAATTTTGTGTTTAATACTATCGCTTATCTTGAAACCCTTTTTACTTATTCGGATCTTCGCTTGTTCGTGCAGAAGATACTGCTGGAGTAGATGATTTATGAAGAGTTAACCAAAACAAGCTATTGCTAATGAAGTTCACTGAAAATGCTTAGAAATAATCGTTTGGAAATCGWTCCTRTCTTCTCGGCTTGAAATCCTTCTTTACGAAATCGATAAATTAATATTTCTAGTTCGGCTGTCTTGAATTACAGCAGTCAAATAGAGCATGCGTAGACACAAMCTTCTGCCACATGATCTGCTAGCTCCGCCCTTTCATAATCACTTGACAACATAGTGACATTGATCGACATCTGGTACATAATAGTTGATTGGAGTATAGACGGGAACCCTATAGCAGATACCCGCAAAGGTCTCTTGGGTAAGTTCCTGAAGACCCCTGGGTACTATTGCGCAACTTGTTCAATTTTTGGAGCAAGAATCAGGGTTCCAGGGTAAGCTGGGATACCTGGAGGACCTGGAGGACCTGGAGGACCTGGAGGACCTGGAGGACCTGGAGGACCTGGAGGACCTGGTTTCAACATGCATGGAGGATTTAGTTGGTTGAGCTTCCAAAAATACTGATAAAATATTTCGTGACGTCTCGAAGTAATGATAAACCAGACCCTGGTAAGGGCGGTTTATTAGTGTCAGAGTCTCTAAGAATCTAAAGGAGAAGTAAAAATAAGTTGCACAATTTCGAACGACRGTTTTGAAAGCCGTATGGAGACAGAGCGTTAAATGTCAAAAGTTTCGAGGGAAAGTCAAACAAATTTAAGCTCATTTTTATAATCATACTAGCTCGAACAGCTTAATAAACAGTTGAATATTTGATACAAAATTATTAAATGAAAGTCTTCTTTGTTTTGCMGATGGAACCCCGCGATAGGAGGCGAACAAAGCTGCATTTTTCTTGCACGAGAAACATACGATAGTTCTGTGGTTAAAAACAAGCGAGTATCTTGAAATAAAATAAAAAACTTCAACAAAAAAATTCAAAAAAAAATGCAGGTATATACAAATTTCAGGTCAACCATCAAAGTACTAATCTCCCACATAGTGCTTGACTCAGTGTCGTGAAAGCCCAAGTTCAACGGGGCCACGTTTTCAGGAAATTAACACAACATTAGCCATGAAAACAATGCACCAGATAGACCAGATTATTTTCCACWTCAAATCAACGTSCCAGTGCGTGGCAGAGTGCAAGGGATTAGCTGTAGATATGGTCTGGGGGCCGGCTAGTCTCTCCCCTGATGYTTCGGCTAGAACACTMTCCTGCATAATCCGTACACCCAAGGGCAGAGGGACTTAATCGCCGTCAGGTCCGAAGTCCATACGATGACCCAGCGTATGTCTCGGGGTATGGCAAAAAGGCACTATTTTTTTTCTTCTTTAWTTTTTAATTATTCATATAATTATAGTTTGGAGGACGTGTGTTCGATTCCCGAATTTGAGTATTCTTATTTCATTCTTTTAGGATGTGTGCTTTTTTTTGGCMAGCATACAGCATTAACAGATARCGATCTTCATCTGAAAAAGTCCAAACCTYCTTCTAACTGGATTTGCACTTCATGAGACCACGAGATTTTTTCACATCATTGAAATGACCTTTTTCATGATCGAAAAGTTATAAAAGTTATCGCAAAAAAAAGACAAATATGTACAAATACAAACAAACAAAAAAAACACTAAAAATATTAACTAGATAAAAATTCCCTGAATTAACTAATTAAGGAACA